GGTTCCCCAGTATAATTTTGATATTTACACATTCTAGGATGGCTAATTCGTCTGATTCACTTTTTGAAGTACACATAACTCTCGGATTTAAATCCGAAGTTTCCGTATTTATTTTTTCTGCGAAGAGAAACCATGTCACATTGAGTTTCATTATCCTTTCACAGTTAAAAGTAAAAAAAAACTAAACACGCTTTCTATTCGAGTATTCGGACCCTTGATTGGTTTCATGACTTATGCCACCTGTAAGAAACACTGTATCACATTCTAACTCATAACCATTAATGTGTGAATGGGCTTCAGTAACCGTCTTCTCAACATTCGTACCCTCATATGAATTTCATTTTTTATGTGAAAAATATTGTTTTTACAAGAAAACATTTTTTCTTTAAAAATCTTCTTTAACTTTAAAGTAAAGTTACAGTGCCGCTGGTAGTCTTGTGCCTATTTGTTGTTTTGTTGTAAGTATTTTTTGTACTCCCAGATGCTTGACATGGCGGAATGAGAAGTGAAAAACGTCCTCTGTTTCAGTCTCTGATATGTACTTCATACACTGATAAAACGTTTGACTTATTATTTGTTGAAATGATCAGTTTGATAAACTTTAAATTACTGAGATCAAAATTCAACAGATATTGAATAATCTGATTCATATTAGACAGAAGTGAATTTTTTCTCTTTATCTTATATAGCTTGTTCAGTTTCATATGAACTAGCTCTCAGTGAATACTATTTTCAATTCTATTCATTTCTTGAAATTAAGAAAATTTTCAAAAAATACAGACAAAATTGAGTTGCCACGCTTCTTTTTCACCGTTCGACAAACGAACAAAGCTTTCATATTCACTATAACTCTATCTCTTTTACTCTGATTACATAATTGGCATTGTGCCATTGAGTGATATTATTACGAAATGTATCAAATGATATTTCAAGAACCATACTCAAGGTTATATATTTTTGCGAAACTATAGAACAAGAGAAAAAATGTAATATTGAAGCTGTACTGAAGAAATATGAAAATTCTTGGAGAACACAACTCAACCGTTCAACCTCTGCAATAGATATCCTTGTGTTCAATGAATTAAAAATAGGCGATGCATTAAATGATTTTCCTCTCATTGATGTATGCTTGGTTAGATACACTGCATCGCAAATAACTTCTAATAAGATTTCTGATCGATTTCATTATTGCTGCTGAAATTCATCAAGCAAACCTAGGATTGGTAATAGTCAAGCTTTTTTTTTCAATTTTTTGCTTTTCATGTCTACGATGATTGTTAATCGTTTACACATTTATGATGTTAAATGGAAGCAAAGCAAGAAAACATATTCTTAACTGAAACAGTACTAGACTGTTCGATGAACAAACATTTAATCAAAGGGGAAACACTTGCTGAAACCAGTTTCATCGGCATTAAATATTTGATTAGGCTTGTCCATAAGATCAAGTTTTTCCAATGTTGATTTCAGCAATGAAAACCAGCCTTGACGAGTTTCTTCAGTAAATTTTTCAGCACGTATTCTTTCTAATTTTTCCTGTTTTTTCCATTTTATCTTCATACGATGTCGATTAAGAAATGTTTTTAACCATTTTTGACCCGGTACAAACGATAAGCCAAGTGACTTCATGTATTCAGATGAGATTTGAATAGCAATATCAGCAGCTATTGAAAATCCGTAATCAGGTAAAATTTGAAATATTGAAACTAAATAACTTTCTTCATTATCATTCAGATAGTGTCGTCGACCAGCACCAATTCTTTGCAGTGGAAATTGCCTATGACAACGTATAGTCCGTTCTGGTACATTAAACGTTTTTGCTGCTGCAGTTGAACTAAGATTACTATTTACTGCAACTATCAGGTTCTGTGTTGTGTATTTCATCAGACGAGTGATCCACAAACAAATTTTAAAATTTACGAACATCTACTGTGAAATAAGTTTGTAAATAAGTAAATACAAAGAAAACAATAAAAAGAAAGAGAATTAAATGAATGACGATATCTAACACTATCCAATAAGTGATGTTTATATAAAAAGAAAGAAATATACCGTTATTTTCTCAAAAAACCCTTTCGTTAACCTAAAAAAATTAATTCAAAATTTTGAGAAACTGAATTCAGATTCGGATTCTCCAACCCCGATTTGCTTTCGTCAATCTTTCTAAAAAAAATCAACTTAGATGTGTTTTGACCTTGACACAAAGCCACACACACACAAACTATTTTTTTTCATATGACCCTCCCTACAGTTGAGGGAAAAAATTAGTTATAAAAAACGAAAAACAACAAAACGAAGAACTAAAAACAATATCGACCGATCCTTCGTTCTTGTCACTGTTTATAATTTGATCAATCTATAATAAAAAACAAAACATGTGGGAGGAGACCTATTTCTCACTATTCTATTCCTTTTCCAACTCCTCTACTAGTGCTTTTATTGCTGATTTTGGGGGTCTCTTATGAACTAATACTATCTTAAGGTTATCCGCTAGTCTATGGGCAAAGATGACTGGGATATCGCTTAGCGTAGTTCCCTCAAAAATCTCATTCCAAATTTCAAGGGGGTAAGTGCAGTCACCCAGCACCTACAGCACCTACCAGCACCTATACCGCCTTTTCACTATGAGCACCTACGGCATCTTCAGCACCTCCAACCATTGTTCCATTATCTTAAGTCCTTTTTTCAGCACCTTGTAATAAAATTTAAAGGCCAGAGCCTAAACACTAAATTTTATCACAAGATGCTGAAAAAGGACTTAAGATAATGGAACAATAGTTGAAGGTGCTGAAGGTGCCGTAGGTGCTCATAGTGAAAAGGCGGTATAGGTGCTGGTAGGTGCTGGGTGCCTGCACTTTCCCCCTTGCCATATTTGGCGAAACTTGGATCCGAAATTTGCTAAACTTTGTGCATAGGTAAAATGGACCATAATATCACTATTGAAGTCGATCCCAGGTTTATCTTTTTTATTCCATTCTACGTCTAAGACCATTTTCCTAAACTCATTATGTCTATCACTAAGAAGTAATTTTGTATTTTTCTGCCCTGTTAAAGTCTCATAAAATCTCTGAAAATGTGTCTATAAATTTATGAGGGTATCTATTCAAAAGTAGGGTTATTCTCACTTTCTCAATTTCTTCTTCTAAATTTTCTCGATGGGAACATATTCTTACTGCTCGTAAAAGTGCTGAGAAGGGTATATTCTTCATAACATGGTGAGGGTGTGCTGAGTTAAAGGGTAAAATGTATGACTGAGCCGCTAATTTTCTATAAACCCTTGTCCGAAAGTTTGGAATCTCAACTTCTGCTCTAACGTCTAAGCAATCTACGTGTGGACCCGTGTCAAAAGCTAACCCTATGTTCTTATCCTTTTTACCTAACTCTAATAAAATTTTATCCATTTCTTCCTTGGGTCTCTTAGTGGTAATAAAAATATCACCCCGAAATCTTAGGTATATCTCTCCTTCTCTCTCCTGCTGTTCTCTAAATCCTTTCTCCCACTTTCTCATGTATACATCTGCTAAGACTTAGGTGTACTCTGATCCCATGGGTCCTCCTCTAATCTGCTTATAATACTTAACTTTCTGTTCGGGTAACTGAAGGACAAAATACGCATTTTCTAAGACGTGTCTAAAGAGGGTTCTAACTGTATTGATGGGTATCTTTCCATTAACCTTATTTATCTTATTCTCACCTAACATCTCGCAAATGGCTTAGATTGATTCCTGTTGGGGTATCATCTATCTATCTATATATATATAAAGAAGAATGTTTGTCTGTCTGTCTGTCTGTCTGTTCGCTATGCATTTCCACATCATACGAGCAAATGCAACCAAACATTCCAGGAATCTTCCTCACGTCCAGGAGAAGGTCGACGTCTAATTTTTTTTCAAAAACACTTGATCCTTCGCTCGGAAAAAGCCTACCTCTGTTGCTAACCAATCAGATTGCAGTATTCGGCGCTATAGAACTACCACTGAATACCACTTCGTGAACACACAGAAAATATGAAACTAGAGGTTTTCGAGGACGGTGAGTTCGAATCTGAGGTCTATTCGCCTCGAAATCTGATTGGTTGTTTGGAAACTAATAGGAATTCAGCTCTTAAGACATTAGACCCAAACGCTTATACTTTCAAGGAAATGATGGAGCAGGAGGTTTTTAGAGGCAATGAGTTCAAATCTGAGGTCTATTCGCCTCGAAATCCGATTGGTTGTCAGGAAACCTATAGGAATTCAGCCCTTAAGAAAATAGACCCAAATGCTTGTACTTTGAAGGAAATGATGGGGCACGGGGTTTTTACAGGCAGTGAGTTTGAATCTGAGGCCCATTCGCCTTGAAATCTGATTGGTTGTTTGGAAACTAATAGGGTGTGAGTGTGGGTGTGGGTGTGGGTGTGGGTGAGTGTGGGTGTGGTGTCGGTGGGTGTGGGGTGTGAGTGTGAGTGTGGATTTCAAGGGGGGAAAAGCAGATTTTGGCGTCCAAAATCTTTCAAAATCTTCAAAATCTTTCAAAATCTTTCAAAATCTTTCAAAATCTTTCAAAATCTCTCAAAATCTTTCAAAATCGCCGAAAACAGTGCAGGAAGTGGTTAGCTTGGTCCGAGATCTTTTCAGTACTTTATTCCCTTAACTTAAAGGAGAAGCTTCTGGATGAAATAAAATAAGTCT